CAACATCGATGTTTCCAACTCTTTCTCCCTCTCCTTTCCTCTCTGAAATCAATAAAAATACGTATTTTTAAAAAATCACTCATCCGGCCGGAATGGTTCAGTGGTTGAGAATGGGCCTATGAACCAGAAGGTCATGGTTTGATTCCCAGTCAGGGCACATGCCTGGGTTGCAGGCGATCCCCAGTAAGGGGCTTGCAGGAAGCAGCTGATCAATGATGCTCTCTCATCACTGATGTTTCCACCTCTCTCTCCCTCTCCCTTCCTCTCTGAAATCAATAAAAAAAACATTTAAATAATCACTCTGTGTGTGATTCCAGGCTAGTAGCTGAACTACACACTCCGTTTGATAATGCTTGACCCTGGCTTGCCCCCAGCATCAATTACTCCAGCTCTGATAGCTCACCTGTCAGACACCAAGTGCTTTGCTCTGGTCTTTGTGCTCCTCATAAAGCAGGATGAGAATAACTAGACTACATGGAGCCATAATGATCCATCTAGTATTCCCACAACATGCCGTGTCCAGTCACTCACTCTAACTGTAAACAAGGTGGGAAAATGCTCACTCACTCAAGTATAACTCTAGTCCTACACACTCTTCCAAAGATGCCAACTTCACTCCCCTCTTCATGCTTATAGAGCACAACTCAGACTCAACACCGTCTACTCAAGGAAAGTACACAGCCAGCCCTCCCAACAAATAAACATCCAATAACAATTCATTGAAATTAAATAAGATTTCTTTGATTTTACTGAACAAAAGATGACTGTACTTCCTACCAAGCATTTCTGAGTAATTCATGGTGTTTTACCTTAGCACACCCTTTACTATTCATTATCTATGATGTTCTCACAATGCTTCAGTTATAATAGATTCTACAATCATTACCTATTTGGATAGATGGGAACCTGAAAGTAGTTATATATATAAGAAAAAGAATAGAAGTACCACATAGCCCTGGGTCTGTGCACGTCTAACTCGGGATTCTCTCACAGTGGCATCAAGGTATTTTGCAAAAAAGGAAAGTTCCTGCCCCATATCATCTCAAAAGATAGCATCAAGGTATTTTGCAGAAAAGGGAAGTTCCTGCCCCATATCATCTCAAAAGATATGAATGTTCTCCCAAGTCAAGTCTTACATAATTATTTTTAAAAAAATAAAGCAATCATTATATAGCAGTAATAAAATAATAAAAACTTCATCTACAATACTAATTATATTTTATTTATTTTTATATATTTTTTTATTGATTTCAGAGAGGAAGGGGGAGAGAAAGTGAGAGAGAGAAACATCTATGATGAGAGAGAATCATTGATCGGCTGCCTCCTGCACACCCCCAACTGGGTATCGAGCCCACAACCCAGGCATGTGCCCCTGACCGGAATTGAACCCGGGACCCTTCAGTCTGCAGGCTGACGCTCTATCCACTGAGCCAAACCAGCCAGGGCAGCAATACTAATTATATTTTAATAGAACTTTCCAATGTTTTCTTTATGCCTTAGCCACATAAATTTATGTAACTGATATTAGAATTTTTACTTTTTACAAGCATTTCCATGTTGTTGTTGTTGTTTAAAAAATCATCGCATAATATTTTTACCAAGTGTACACATCAAGATTACCTGAATAGTTCTCTAGGGCAGTAGTTCTCAACCAGGAGTAACCGTGTGGTCACCCAGGGATACCTGTCAATGTCAGGAGAATGGAGAAGCTCCATGCCCTCCTACATTCCTTGCCTATGCATCTCTTCCATGTGGCTGTTCCTAAGTTGTATCCTTTATAATAAACTCAGTAGTAAGTGAACTGTCTACCTGAGTTCTGTGAGCTTGTTCTAGCAAATTACTAAACCCAAGGAGGGGGTTGTGGGAACCTGCAAATTTACAGCCAGCTGATCAGAAGTACTAGTATTTGCAACTGGCCTTTGAAGTCTTGTGGGACTAAGCCTTAACCCTTGGGGTCTGCTATAACTAAGAATAGTTTGTAACAGAACTGAATTGAATTGTTGGACATGCAGTTGGTGTCAGAAAAATAAAACCTAGAGAGGCACTGTCTTATTCTGCTTTCATAAATTTAGTTGTTCTTTAAAAAATTCATTACTTAACTTTCTACATACCTACTTATCTACTCTGGGCACAGTGTTGGGAGCAAAAGAGGGTCACTAACTTCAAAGAGTTCATCTTGACCTATCTATATTTTCATATCCTCCATCATCTCTTAGTATAACAAATTCCACAAATTTACACCCTCTGTGTAAGGCAGTGCTTCCTTTTGTCACTTTTCTTCAGTGGTTCCCTGCACGATAAGACCAAGCCACAAAACATCATCCAGGCCAATCTGTCTTTCCATATGGAATGTCTGGGGGGAATTACATGAAATATACAAGATACTTGAGAAAAAGAACACTTGAGTCCTGATTGCTAATACTTTTGCTGTATCAGTGGTTCTCAAGGTGATTTGGAAACATGTGGAGTTCTGTGGTGATCTCACTGGCTACATGCCTTGCAGGGAAACTCTAAACTTCCTTTATGAATAAAGTTCCATTCAGCCCAGAAGGCTACTCCAAGTTCCAATGCTGACCATACTTTAAAACCAAGTACAAAAGCTACCATGCCTTTATCCTTTTCTTCTTGATTGCTCCTCTTCTCAGTTTATGAAGAATTAGACAAACAAAAGTTAACACATCAGAAGAAGCAAACAATTGCTCATGGAGCAAATACTGATATCTATAGTGGTTATTGTACAGCTAGAAGCAAACTTAACACAAGATAGGTCTTATGAAAATGTCTATTGCTGATATAGTTTTAATGACATGAAAGTGATAGAAAATGAAATTTTACATGGAACGGTGGCAGGAAGGAGAAAATTCTGTTTATTTCAACCTGTTTTTATGTGGTCAAAACAGAGAACTGAAATTACAGCACAGCTATTTATAATGTACTTACACATCTGGGTAAGTCGGTGGGCATTTAACCCTCAAATCCACTTTTACATATGCTTCTTCACCAGCCAGACCCTGGGGGTACAGAACTAAATTGATTTCAGGGGGCCCTTTGACCTAAAAGAGAAAAAGAAAAAATATATATATATATTTTAATCTAGAGAGCCAATCAATGATTAAGATAATGATCATCTTAGTTTAAAAGGTCTACTTTTAAAATATTACATGTAATTATATCTGATATAGTGTTTGGTCAAAGTTTCCTAAAGCATAGTTTAAAAATAAAACCTGTGCCAGAGAGAATGCATTTCCCTTTTCAAAGTTACTGAAAGAGTGAACCAAAATGTCCCATGTAGCTTCCATTCATTCAAATGTTACTGAGTGCGCGTATGTCTGGGTGCTGTCCTAAAGGCCGGGAGTACAGGATTAACTTTAGGCAGACAATTACCTTATACAAACTAGAAGACAAGTGAATACTTTCCAATAGTGGTGAGTGCTATAAAGAAAATACCACAGAGAAATGGAACACAGTGGGGAGAAGATATTCAGACAGGTGGGGATCAGAGGATATTTCACTTGCAAGTTGAATACTGAGAATAATAAGTGAAAACCTTGACATGGAAATCTGAGAGCACTTTAAAAATTGTTTATGCTTCCATCCAACTGCTTTTCACCAAATAACTAAATACTCTATTGTTCTTTTATGTATTAATTACACTTTTTCCAAAAAAAGACTTGAAATGATTTATATTATCTTTATATCATGAGAAAAGGGATGCTGAGAGAAGAAACATCTATTCATGTGGTCCAAGTACTATGCCAATTCTGCAAGGTAGGTGCTGTATCCTTTTTTAAAGACTTTTTATTGATTCTTATTGACTTTTTTTTTTAGAATGTGGTAGAAGGGAGTGGAAGTGAGAGAGAAACATCAATGTGAGAGCAAATCATCCATCAGCTACTTCCTACATGCCCCCTACTAGGGATTGAGCCCACAACCCAGGCATGTGCCCTGACTGGGAATCTGCATATGTAAGACAGGTCTGGTTTAACATTAAGCCTCTTTCATCTTAATGTTGGAAGTGAACAGCACATCTGAATGTAACTAAGCTTCTTGGGAAATGGTACAGGGGGGCCTATGCTTAATGCTCAGAGTCTCTTGAACAAGAAGAAGGCTTCAGCAAACAGAGGCCTATTGGGGGCCTGCCTACACATTTTGAAGATAATTCTTTTACTAACAGGAATGCTTTAGAGTATTTCTCAGCAGAGACTATTAATTGTTCCCCAACATTCATTCTCCCCTTATTTCTGTGGACCCTGAGAAAGAAGATCCCTATTCAGAAGGATTCCTGGTGGGTAACAACTCAAATGTTTAAAAACAGAGGCTAGCAGCCATTTCTACACAAGGGCCTCTCACACAAACAGTACTTCACAGAGAAGCCTGCACTGACCCTCCAGCCTCTGCACTGAACTGCCTGACTCTACTGTTTGTGCCATCTGAGCCAGCCCTTATAAAGGAGTTGCAGGAATTCTATTTCAACCCATAGGACTGAGGCTTGCCCCATGCCACCGGGCACAGCTATAACCCCAGCAACATCTTCACCAACCAATCAGAGCATCTCCAATCTGACCAATCAGGAAAGTGCCTTTCAGACCATTCAAACTGTGAGTATTTGGAGTCCTCATTTGCATGAGGACAGACAATCAGAGGCCAGGGTGGGGACTTCTGGCTATATAAACCAGCTCCTCTATGGCTCTGAGAGTACACTTTCCTTTTCCACTGAAAACTAAAGCACTGAAGATGTCTTGCCCGAGCATAGTGGAACAGACCAGCACAGAGCAGAGAAGACCTCTTCTTCATCAAGGAACACAGCAGAGCTGTCTAGCTGGAGCGGGGCCTACCCCCAGGGCTGCTCACAGCCATGCTGTTTTCATAGTTATGCTGTATCACAATTGGGCTGTTTTGTGATAAAGTTTCCTTCTTCACTGCACCCCAGTGGGATTCGTAATAGCACTGAATGGACACCAATGATCATCCATTGGCAATAGAACTACAGATTTTTAAAAAATATATATTTTATTGATTTTTTACAGAGAAGGGAGAGAGATAGCGAGTTAGAAACATCAATGAGAGAGAAACATCGATCAGCTGCCTCCTGCACACCCGCTACTGGGGATGTGCCTGCAACCAAGGTACATGCCCTTGACTGGAATCGAACCTGGGACCCTTCAGTCTGCAGGCTGACGCTCTATCCACCCAGCCAAACCAGCTAGGGGCCAGATTTTTTTTACTGGACACATTTATCAGACCTCTTTGCAGCTAAGTGTAGCTACTGAGCTAATTTCTGGCCAATAATATGAAAGAACTAACATAAGCAACTTCTTCATTCCTTTTTCTTTCCAGGTGGCTGGCATGCATATGTGATGGTTGGAGTTCCGATAGCCATTTTGGACCATGAAGGGCACATTAAGGATGGTGAAACATCAATTTAGAAAAAGCCCCACACTCCAGACTTTTACATGCAAAAAAGCAAACTTTGTAGTTTTCTGTCATATGTTGCTCAACTTAATCCTAACCAATATAGGTTCCGGGATTGGAGGTGGAGGGATAGTGAGGGAACAGTGATTTTAGATGTAACAGAATATTTGTCAGGTTTTTCTTAAGCAAACTGAGAGGCTCCCCAATGTGTGAAGAAGCTTTTATGTGAAACACGTTTAGAATACCAAGCATTAGCTGGACTCCTGGGACTGAACATAACTTGATTAAAAATGGTTTAACAACCAAGATGTATTGGGGAGCAGGATGAGGTAAGGCCTCCTTCATGGGTTTAGAAGATAACTAGTCATCAAAATTCAGTACAGGTAAAATCTTTGACTTAACCTGCACAAGAAAATAATCCAGAAATATTAGCAAGCAAATAAACACAAAATAAGGGGTAATCGAACATTTTTGAGATCACTAAAGGAGAGGAAAACACAATGTAGGTGTATCAGCTCCAAAATATATAAAATCCTACATGAGGAAAAAAATTAATTTGAAGACTGAAAATGAAAGTGACATGCAAGCCGCATAAAAAGTAGTAAGGGGGAGAAGGCCATATAATGTTACAATAAGGCATGAGTAATTCACTTCCTAATGGCATCATGAAGCTGGTACTCCCCTGAACTGTTATTAAAAAGCCCAACAAATCCTCAAGCATATAAAAAGTGAGAGAGTAATGTAAATTCAGTCCTCAACCCAAGAGAGGTAATGCTCATTTGGAATTCATAAAATATACCCACAGCTATTCAAGAAACAAACCCCAAGGATCTTAAATTACCCGCAAAGGATTAGAAACACTAGCACACCTCCCGGAGGAGCCAATGCAGTTATAATCCCTGCTGCTCAGTATGAATGTGCTTTCTTCAGGCACTTTCTAACACAAGCCCAATAAAATCAACTCACTAATTAATAATGTGCCTATTTCTGTTAAAAGTACTGAAGTAAAGGGTAAGACTAGGAAAAATTGAGAATTTTATCAGCCATTCCACACAGCAGCAATTTTTTTGTTTCAAGGGTAAAGCATAAGGGTTAATGACAGCCCATGATTAAACTTTACTTGTTTACAAGATAAGCAGCAGAGTAAGGGAAAGCAATTAAAAATACCAACATAATTTTTCATTGCACACAATGTAAGTATACTTAACACTACTAAAATGTACTCTTAAAAAGGTTAAGAGCCCTAGCTGGTTTGGCTCAGTAGATAGAGTGTCAGCCTGTGGACTGAATGGTCCCGGGTTCGATTCCGGTCAAGGGCACATGCATGGATTGGGGACTTGATCCCCAGTAGCATGTGTGCAGGAGGCAGCTGATTGGTTACAGCATCGTCCTGATATGCCAAGGTTGTGGGATTGATCCCTGGTAAAAGAATATACAAGAATCAATCAATGAGCCCTGACCCATGTGGTTCAGTTTGTTGGAGCATCATCCGGTGCACTGAAGGGTTGAAGGTTCTATTCCCAGTCAGGGCACATACCTGGGTTTTGGGTTCCATCCCTGTCGGGATGCATATGGGAGGCGACCAATCAATGTTTCTCTCCCTTTCTCTAAAATATCTTCAGGTGAGGGGAAAAAAAATCAACCAATGAATACATAGATAAGTAGAACAACAACAAATCTTTCTCAATCTAAAAATCAATAAATTTAAAAAATGTTTTAAATAATGTTGTGTTAAAAAAATGGTTAAGATGGTAAATTTTATGTTATATCTATGGTTTTTGTTTTTTGTTTTGTTTTGTTTTTTAACCACAATTATATATATTTTAAAAGTTACACAATTCAAACCACTTTCAGATGTTTCGCCTAAAATTGTTACCTAGGATTCTGCTAATCATATCTTCCTTAAATTTTATGGCAAGATTTAGCTCAACATGTCCTGTTGTTTCTCAGCTGCTTCAAATCTCACATTCTGTCATTTCTGTGCGGGAAAAACTAGTTTATGTGAAAATATAACAAATCTAGAAATAAAGCAACATGTACAAGTTTGGTTTTAAGATTGTGAAGATATCAAAATCAAAAATGGTCCAGCCAGCCTGGAGACTATTTATGCTAAGCGAAGTAAACCAGTTGGAGAATGATAAATGTCACATGATCTCGCTCATTTGTGTAATATAAAGAACAACATAAACTGATGAACAAAAATAGAGCCAGAGGAAAAAAAATATTTCAGAATATAATAGAAGTAATCCTGTTATTTGTAGACTTTTACTATTTCCTACAACCTTTGTGACATTATACTATGTTAGTACAGTTTTGGTAATATTATTGTATTTAAAATAGTTTTTGTTGAAATATTAATGTTTATTGCATGTAACATTATTATATTTAAAATCATTCTTGTTGAAATATTAATGTTTATTGCATGTAAATGGTTAATTATTTTGTATCTACAATCTGGTAATAGATTTACTTTGTATATTATAAAAAATAATAAAAATAAATAATAAAGTAATTACTTAAAAAAAAAAAGAACTGCCTTGGGTGCCCCCACATCCTTATCTTGCTATTCAAGGCCCTCCAAAGTTTATTCCAAATCTATCATTACAAGTGGAATTCACACTTCGCTCTTCATGCAGCCTAT